TATATAACGTACAGTACTCAATATGTATTTAGCCTTTAGCTTGGAAATATAATCTCATTCTTTTCGTTGGTCGTATACTAGTTGGGTTTTTTTTGGGGGGGGGCGGGGGGGCTATACGTAGTACCTGATTCTGCTCGAGTGCTAAATCTACCCATCGGCTTATTCTTTTACAGGGTGTCGTGTTTGGGAGTCTCGAAAGATGGCATGGCCATCTGCACAGGTAGTTGGGACAATACACTGAAAATCTGGAATTAATGTACCTTTATAAACGGAGAATGATCCGTCTCTACATACGTTTTCTCTATATAAAAAACCTGCAATAAAGTACTGTCACATTCGCTGACGAATATTCTTGGTTGACGGCATTTGGAGACTTTATTTAGGGCAACCCAACTCCAACGTGCAGTAGAACCCGCAAGTAGTATATCGTACATTGATTTGTCTAGTTGCATGCTTGGCTGGTGATTGGGTTACATTTGAAGACTTGATATATGCTAACTTCAACGTACTTTGGGACCGGCAAGTAGTATATCATATTTTGATTTATTTAGTTACTTGCTTGGCTGATGGTTGGATCATTTGGAGACTTGATGTAGGGCAACTGCAACGCATTTAGTATATCGTGTATTGGTGTATGCAGTTGCTTGCCAATCCATGGAACAACGTACATTGATTTGTCTAGTTTCATGCTTGGCTGATGATTGGGTTGCATTTGAAGACTTGATATATGCCAACTGCAACGTACATTGGGACCGGCAAGTAGTATATCATATTTTGATTTTTTTTTAGTTACTTGCTTGGCTGATGGTTGGATCATTTGGAGACTTGGTGTAGGGCAACTGCAACGCATTTAGTATATCGTGTATTGGTGTATGCAGTTACTTGCCAATCCATGAAACATTGCATTAAAAATTGCTCAGTTTAACGATCAGATTTCTCAGGCATACGAAAAGCAAGTTTGATATATTCATAGTACGATCTCATTGTATAGGTGCATCACATTCGGAAATTTGGCACTGTAGTTGGTATCAACATGCACGCTCTTGTTCTCACTGTACTTCATTGTAGATGTGAGGAGGACCACACGAATCGGGAATCAGAATTCTCTCATGGCACTTAGTAGTTAAATATTGCCATTCCTACAAGCCTGCTTGTTTTTGTTGTAGAATGTTCAAACATCCTTTTCATTGTATGAAAGATATCCTACTCGTGGCAGCAAATTGTGATGCTATTAGCCCCATATAGCTACACTGGTATCACGATCTATTGTTAGAATATACAAGCGCCTGATGATTTGCTTTGATGCAATTGAATTACCATCTTGGTGACGATGTAGCTCAATATGGTATATTATTCAGTAATCAAGTGCACGCGAAGCTCTACTAGACAATATTGCTATTCCAAGGGACTCGGGTGTGCCACTTGCACTGGGAGACAGTGAGAATAAAACTTGGATTATCTGCAACCGAGAACCAAATCATGTGCAGTCGTCAGCAATTTCCGGGATGTGACACCGATACTTATCTCAGTCATGCTTCAGACAATTCTACTATTTTCTCGTCGAGCTAAGAGTTTCTTCCCTCAAATATTTGCCCGATTTTCTCACTATCGTATCAAATGTTGTAATGCCACTACTCGCAAATTGAAAGGATGAGATATGCCCCACCATCGTATTACACTATGTTGCCTCGTTTCCCATCATGAATATGCTGTATACGAAGTTTGGCAATCTAGCTGATCTCTACATGCAACTATCTTGGGTAGTCGGTGCTTTTCATATGTATCAGAGCTATGCGTTGCACAAGTACACAAATGTTGATATTCGCCGCGCGCAGCCGCCCGTGTTGGTGTCATTCCGGTGTATATCGATGATCTTTTGATTCAATGTTGTATATATGGGTGTTCGGTCTGAAAGTGCTTGTTTTTCATCCACTTCATCTGTCTTCAAGTCAAGGAATGCGTTCGAGGGTACAGCATTTGCGAGTAATATTTGTTTTGTGTGGTATATCACTAGTAGGTATATTTACATTATTAAATTGTTTTTGTCAAAATATGGTTGGATATTGGATTATTCATACAATATTTAACGCTTAAAAAATACATTAAATATAACAATGATAGAAAACAGACATATGCAACGTCCAGCCGACGCTGCACCACATAAACAGGTCGAATTCTGATTTTATTTCAGCACCCTTTAAATCCTAGCACTAGTGGGTGTTGTATATCCATCATTATGAAGATGTCTTTGTCAAAAGTCTTTGTCAAAATAGGGTTGAATGCTGGATTGTGTTCGCGTGAACTTGTTAAGATATCTTTGTCAAAATATGGTTGGATAGTAGATTTTTCTAACAATCGACACTCAAAGAAGTGCACTAGATCGAGAATGCTTGAACACCGATATCGGATGTGAACATGTCCAACATCCAGTCCGCGCTGCATAATATTAAGAGATCGAATTTTATTTATTTATTTTGCTGCTACTTATAAATCGCAGCGTGGACACTCAAAACAGCAGCGTATGTGTAGCAGCGTGTGTGCACTATAACTATCTTTGTAATCGTTACTTTGATTTCATTTAATGTATTATGGAAGCAGTCCGCCACGCGCGTTGCTCGACAAGATGGTACTGGAGTAGATAGATATCTTCTTGTTAACCAGCTGCTTGACAATATCAGGTAACAGAATCTTTTAAAATAATGCCCACTACAAATGGTAATATTATCGATACTATGTTCGCTTCAAACGGGTGTTGTTGTCATTATCGATATTCCGATGCACACCAGTCGAGAAGTCATCTGCTCACACAGCTCCTACTTTCGTATACTAAATCTTGGTGAGTATCGGGTATTCGGACGCATGCATTATCGACTGCAGGGTATCCTCTCTGGAGTTAGAAAGAGTAAAGGGTGCCAGACTGGCGGGATGGTGAAATATCATTTATTACATCGGCGGTTGCTGTACATAGTCACTTAAAAGCCGTCGAACAGCAACCGAGTGATGACAGATTCATCTTGCACATTTGGCATGAAGGACTCGCACGCTTTGGTCCAAAAATAATTGCGATCTCGGCTTCATTAACGGATTGAGCTATCGCAAAGTTTTAAATATCGTTGTAGCTTCTTTTTTTTTACCCGCATCTCAAGTTTTGTAGAATGAAAACAGAACACTGTGCAGTAGAATACTTTAGACTGTGGTGGGGGATGGTCGCATCATACCCTTTGGCAGGGACAATTCACCATATGTATATGGCACATAGTGCCTTCAGTACAAGCCGTTGTTAGACTGCAACTAAATGATGACGGATTCCCATTGAATATTTCATATCATAGATTAATTCTAGCGATGATTTGCATACATTGAATAAATAATAGTGCGATTTCAACCGTCACCAACGATGCCGACAAGATTGAACTATCGATTATATGCCTTCTTGTACCACCTCAGATGGCCTCGAGTTACAGTTAAAAAGAGGTAAAGTGAAAGCAGAACACTGTTAAATGTATCACTTTGACTGTGGTGGAGGACGACTACATCACACCCTCCTGTAAAGACAGTTCACAATATGTGAAATCACATGGTACATTTAGCTCCACATTGAACACTCGACATCATAGAATATTTGTATCGACGATTCAAATGCATTCATCGGATAATAGTGCGATTTAATCGTCACTAACGATGGCGACTTCAGATAGCCTCGAGTTTTAGTTGAAAAGAAGTACAGTGAAAACATAACACTGTCGAGCATATTAGTTTGACTGAGGTGGAGGACGACTATATCAAACCCTCCTGATCAAAATATGTGTACAAGCCTAGCCGTCACATTGAACATTTTAAATCATAGAATAGTTCTGCGATAATTCGCATGCATTGGGCCTATGTACATGAGCATAACACTTTGACATGAAGGCTTGTGGTGCGAATGTCTCATATACGATTGAATGGACAACGTGAATGGACAACGATATCGGGGTGCGTACTCTTACGCACTCTGCGTCAAGCTGCTTTTGGCAGCAGCTGTAGCTGATGGCGATTGTATCGTGACAGAGCAATGGAGGATTGAAAAATCAATCCCTAAATTATTCAATTTGCAGGTCAATGTATAAAGTCTAAAATTGAGCATAGTTGCAGACACTTTTAAGGTATAGGACTCGTGAATTGACAAGTTTACGGTCAATTGCAGCACCAGACGATCGGTGGAAGAATATATGAACCAATTTTACTGAACATCACGCTAACATTTGCCTTGTTGTTTCGATTAAAATTACCAAATGGTGTTTTATCAAATTCACCCTCTCTGAGATTAATGTCTCATATCGTAAAGGTACAAGACTGCTAGGAATATGATGTTAAATTCTATTAAAATAGTGACTGTATGAATGACAGCCAACTAGTAGATCGCTTTCGTAACCCGCTCGTTTACTTTTCTTCATAAAAGTATACGTAACGGTTATAGACATATTTGCAAGCACGATCATTGTCTACCCATGACGAACACTACAGCGTAGTGGTGATGATTCGGCTACGAGCACAAATTACATTATCCATATTCGTGATTTATCCGTACCTTCTGGCACAACATGGATTGCGATGAGCACTCATTGGATGTGTCAACTCGTATCGTTGATTTTACATCGGTAATCGGTCCGCCCTTAAAATTTATCATGTAAGTTGCTAAACATTGAGTTTTGGAATGTTAGAGCTGTCTAGCAAGCAAGCCTACAATATTAGGTGAGTTGTATTGTCTTTTTTCCTCGTCAATCTACAATCGAGTCCATTCACGAGTTATACACTGAACCAGAGTTCAGTCCGAGGTGAATTTACTGAGAACACTTTACAGCATGAAATGCAATATGCCAGGATCATGACAAGATCATGATTTTTTTTCTCTCTTTTTGCTTAATAGACTAATATTACTTACTGATACTGTGATCCATTTCTTAGAGTGCGATAGCCAACACTTAGTTTCCAATGCCTTCCCAATGCTAATGTACTGAGCAAGAATTCAACTGTTGAAAGATACAATAGGAATAAACATAGAGATTGAAACCGAGGGTTTTCACAAAAATTGTCAAGCTTGAATAGTCTTGCTGTCTAATAACCTGACAGACCCCGATCAATGGGTATGATTGGGTTGATAGGGCAACTCCTATACTGATAAAACAAATATACAAGTGTTAAATAGGTGTCACAGTATGACACCAGCCGCCGTAAAATAGTGTTCAAATATGACACATAGAATATGGAGTATATTATAGACACGAAAGGACCAAATTTAAAATTTACTCTTACTAGTAGTCTATTTGGTTTAACAGGTTATAGTCCTATTGTAGCCACACACGATAATACACGAGAGTACAAGCAACACGTGACTACAATACGTTTAACTACTCAACATGGGGTTTCAGTAGTCAACGACAGACAAATGCATGTTCACGATCAACCAAGAAGGCTTCACCTGTGTCATATTCCGATACGTAGATGACATCATAATATGTGGGAAGGGCAAGGCAGATGTCGACCGATATAAATCACTACTCGTCAATGAGTTTAGCTGCAAGAAGCTTGGTGATCCGAAGTGGCTTCTAGGCGACCGCGTCCTGACAACAGATTCGTCCATCAGTCTTGTACAAGATGCATACATCGCAGAAGCACTAGACACGTTTGGCAACGACATCAAGCCAGTATCAACTCCTGCCTTTTTATCGTCCGTGTTTACACAGATGCCGACCATGGGGGTTACAAGAATACATACCAATCTACAAGTTGTTTGGTACTTCGCATCAATCGGTTCCTATATCATGGCGCTCTCGACGTCAACGAACCGTGGCTACGAATACTGCAGAAGCCAAACATGTCTCTACTTCCAAAGCTGCAAATGATGTACAATGGCTGCGTAACATCCTGCTAAAAACACTCTTATACTGCGACAACGAATCAGCTATACACCTGATCGACACTACCGGGTCTACAAAGCATATGAAACATATCGAGATTCGCATGTATCACATACGGAACTTACAAGCACAGGGCAATATAATAGCCTGTCACATAGGTCTATTGGATAACCTTGCGAATATACTCACTAAGAACACCGCAAGGCCCACACACTGTCACGCATAAAAAAATCAGTATATATCAAATATGAATACCCAAGTAGTTCGGTACTGACACTTATCAAATATGAGCAATGTTCCCACCACTGGATTGTAAGGCGGTAGAACACGTATACACACCCTCCGCAGAGGGTGGAATAAATCGCTTTCTTCCTAATTATATATGTTTAACACACACTCACGTCTAACACGACATATGTTCGTCTAACACAACATATGTTAACAGACGTTCCCACTGAATCTACACAGCATGAGTACTGCTAGACAAACAATCAAGGGGAGAACGACGAGGAAGTGATTGTTTTTTCACACTATTCACAAGTATCGGCTTTAGGGGAGTGCTATGGCAACTCCAGTACTGACGAATACTACCAATATGCAAGTGTCAAATGGGTGTCACAGAATGACACCAACTGCCGTAGAATAATAGAATATGGAGTATAGACACGAACAGAACAAATAAAGTTAGGCTTACAAGGAGTCTATTCAGATTTACATAGGTGGTTACCCTAAGTCCTACCCACCAACACACAAAGTCACACTCATGTAGTTTATTGTTGTTTATTACCTCTATCAGACACAGCCCGATGGACAAGGAATCGACATCTAAACTTCAAACTAATACACCCCTGGTTGCAACGAGATTTTTCGTTCTTGGCTGTATACTGATCGTATGTGTGTCGCAATGAAATATACTTAGTTGCAGGACGAACGAGTCGCAGAAATATGACATTTACGTTTAAAGCAATTTTTTGATTCGGCTGGGATGAAGCAGGAAACTACTTTACTGCAAAACCACCATTTTTTTAGAAAAAAATATTTTCGAAGTAGATAGAGAATTTTATTCATCCTATTTTATTATCGATACGGAACTCTCATATACCTCTGCGGTCATGTTTTGCAAGCATTGCCGGATAATCAGAAGTGCTGATTCATCTCTCTTGCATCCTTTCAGTACTTGAAATACACAATTTCGTTCAAAACTGATCGCGTGAGTGAGATTTCTGAGCGAGATTCAAACTTGGAGTCTATCAATACTCAGTCGAATATCGCGCCAACAGCTACAGTAATCTTAGAGCAAATTAATATTATGTAAAGATATAGCAAGCCAACAGTATTACTTTATGGGCGGTTATATGAGAAGTTAGTAAATGGGGCTATAAATGTTGATATGATAAATGAAACTCCATTTCCGATTGATAGACTTTGATATGAGGCAGGTCGAAGTAATAATCATATTGATATTCAAATTTGCCGGGGCGAGAGGAAAAAGAAAGAAAAACGGTGTCCATCATGAGGGCTACTACACATCGTCAGCATCGGTATCAAGTTTAATTATTGAATAAACACCAACCTCAGACAGACCTTCGGGGCCTTACCACACCAACCTGGAGACAGGACCATATTTTTTTTTCTTAAGTAGCCAATGAAATTAATTTCTGAAATTTCGAATAATGCCGACTTTCTCTATACTCTTTAAGAGAGAACAACTTGGCGACTAAAGTGCCAACCGTTCGATTGACAAAAGAAAGAAAAATAGAAAAATATTAGAACTTCATTAGAAAAACATCGAATAAAGATACCGATGACGGTCAGAGCCTTGCGGCTTATAAAAGCCGGGCGTCCCCCTGCTGAAGCCTCAGTCTTATGCTTCTATCATTAATGTTGTAAGCTTTAATTGGGGTCGTAAGCTAGCTTACATTTATGATGTTCGTTTTAGCTATTAGTAGAACTGATCAATTCGTTCAACTACTTTATCTCCTATCGTCGGTTTACATATTAGATATTTTTAAGTTAGCTTACAAAAGTAGTTGAATGCTGTGGACAGCTCTAAGATACCCTGAAAAATTGAAGTAACACTTACGTGCTACATAACACTAACATTTTAATATTTAATTCACCCTTCCGTAACGAAACTTTGAATAACACTCAAGTGACATTTACAACTGAAAATAATACTCTAAAGTATTAATAATATATTACACTTACGTGTACTAGGCTTTAATCCGATGAAATGATATACTTAAGTAGTATCCACAAATTTATTCACCTACGTGTACAAATAAAGTTTATTCTATTACTTTTGTACTACTACATAGAAATGATTACACATACGTGACACAATTGATGATTTGCATTTACGTGTAACTTTAAAATCAGAGCACGTAAAACAAACACTTCGTGTGTTAACATACGAAGATTCGAGGATAACTACGTACATGCATAGACAAATAAGAAGTTCTAAGCTTGCAGCTTCGTTTTCGAAATGACTCCTCAGAGACCAACTTGAGAAAAAGAAGCTGCTTCGAGAGCCCAAAGTTAATCGAAGAAGGCGAAATCCATAACAGAAGCTTCTCTAAGAGAAGCTAAGGAATAAATCGAGCTTTTCGTGCAATATCGTAATCGATAATTAGAAGAAGCGCGCCTTCTTATGGAGGTCATGTCTAAGAATATTTTAACTTCTCCACAGCATATGGACATCACTCCTATAGAGGAGGAACAGTCTAATCCTATGCTTACGCGTAGCCAGAAAAAGGATGCAGCATTTGGTCCTTTAAAGAACACAGCCGTCATTGTAGCTGTAGATGTTATACAATATCAACCTATAGACTCAGAAGTATATCTGAATTCACATGAAAAGGATGGATCTCCTTCAGAGGACGCTACTACAACTGTATTTACAGATACACACTCTAAACCTAAGGGTAAGGAGAAAGTGGTCGTATCTGAATCACCTAATGTACATCAATCATCATTGGATTATGAAACAATGGACCATCCTACGACTGCAAAATATTCATATGAATCGATGGATGTACAGAAAAAAAACAAAACAACCACGTGTACAGGCACGACCTTCTACTGAACTACAGAGTACACATCAGCAGAAGAAAAATATTTAAATATAATTTCTGATGAAGACGACGATAATCGTAAGAACCAAAAAACTACACTTCGTTACCGACTCAAGTCTCAAAGAAGCCCTCCAACTATAAAACGAGCAATCTTCTAGCGAACCAACTCCAGATTTAGAATCTAGAAAAGAAAGTAGTGCAACTTCGCATTGCCACTTTTGTTTCTAAACCTACTACTGAAAAGAAAAAGGCTACTAAACTAAAGGACAGTGTATAAGAAGTAGCACACAGACATGAGAACCTCACAAGATGCAGGTATTCTACAAAGAGATAAGACAATGGCAAAGGAGCTTACCGTTTGACATCACGAATCAAACGGACACATGTCCAAGAGACAAACTAAGCCAAGGAACTGCAAGAATTAAAAGAAACCCGCGTGAGTGGGAGTTCGTATGAACATAGTGAGCACTCAAGTGTTTCACAAGAAATGGTCACCTCACATCTTGTATTTAGATGTAGCTAAAAGAGCGGTATCTAAATTTGTTAAACATTCGAGTGTCTCAAATAAGTAAAGAGTTGTTTATTTTAAACTTGGAACCCATCTTCAAGATTCCATAAGTATGCACCTGATGACAACGACAAATTTACTTCAGACAGAATATGAACTTGCGTGTCTAAGATACCACTCTCTATGTCTCCGAGATATATTCGAATAATACAATCAGTTTAACCACGCTGATGCATATAACAAGCGTGTACAAATTTACATGCGAAATGTTGCAGAGATGGCTGAGTAAAATTCCGATCACTCAAGTGATCGAAGATGGATTCGCACGGTCAAGGACCGGGAAGGAGCTTTTTCGCATAATGTAGTCGAGCAGACTTCTCTAGCAGTTTTACAACGTTTAGGACGTTAAATCATATGAGGGAGGAATGTGAAACCCAAAAGGTTCCCATTAGCGAATACTATCTTGCAATAGATAGGTGATGTCAATTCGCGCTGCTAAGACTAGGCCTTTAGAAGACCGGACACCAGATGAGTTCTTTAATAAGCAAGCTTGCCACTAATGTCAAGTCTACTAAACAAATGAGGATTTGAATGTTCCCATCAAGACTTTCGTTTCGAGTTACGATAATCGTCTATCCAAGCTCTCAAACGGAAAACGAGCCTTAGAGCGCCGTCGGTCGTTGGAGACTATATTTATGCATGAAATTTACAACCTCAAGAACAGAAACTACAGTTGAGAAGGCTTCAAGTGGCTCAACACTAAAACTGAGAATTTATCATCTGATTTGTCAGACTTTGAACGGCAAATGTTTCTTATGACTTTTACAGTCAAGGAGTAGACGCGTAATAAATTGATGCAGTCTGCCAATAAGTCTTTAGAGACTACAACTACCACTACCAAGCCTAATATTAATACTTGGCCTGACAAGGGTAGTAAACATGACAAAAGTCATGCACATCCAGCTCGTGATCGAGTATCACTAAAGTCATCTATCTTTCAGGACAAGACGCAGGCACATCCATTGCGTGGAGGGTTTAAAACCAAGTATGCATTATGTGTTGAATGTATCAGTACGTTACACCAGAACAATTTTGGATAAAAATTTTACGGTAAACATACTGACGCATGCAAGTACTCTTCAAAGTGTACTATTTGTAAAACGTCACACGGAATGCACTTATTATCTTGTGGAAACATTCCGCGAGTCCGATCAAAAGCGACCGGGACAATGCGACAAAGATGGACACAATTATTAATATCATGTGGCGACGGTGAACCAAATTACATTTGACGATGACGGGCGTAATATTTTTATATATAAAATTAAATGTGTTACTCGACCCAGGTTCACCAATATTCTGTCTTCCCCGTAAAATTTCACTTATGTGATGTAAAATCTTATTCAAAGAAAAGGCATATTATTGCACCAAATGAGTAGGAATTTATTTGTCGTGAAAAAGCCATTGGTACATATCTTCGTAGTTATGTCATAGAATTATTCAAACTAATCTATTGTTTTATTTTGTACTATTGGTATGGTTGATTTGTTATATTTCGGAATAACTCTTACGGATTTACTAAACGGATTTGAACCTATGAAGGATCAATCTGCTAATAACATATTATGACCACCGTTGCCACCAAGTGATAAAACGAAATAAGAGTATTCCAGACTTGATATTATCAATTGAGCTATAAAAATAACACATTCACATTGTGCTAAATTTAAATTTAACACAAGTTATGTAAGTTGATACTTGTGGTATCGAGAGTTGACTTTACTGAGCTAATGACACCCTCACTCTATTATTTATATCTCATAGACACATAGTGACTGTTTCAAAACATAGAAAACAATGGGTAAAAGTAGTAAACTTCGAACCAACACCTTCTAACTTGTCCCTGCTAACAGTGTATCATCTTGATTCAGGTGGAATCTTTAAGTATGATATAGTTTGTTTAGATATGAGTCCTATTAATAAGGTCACACATACACAAAGACTCCATCTACCTCGTATAAACGAGAAGATGAGATTCATGGGAGTAGCTACTGTCTTTTCAAGATAGACTAAACCCAAGAATATCATCAGCTAAAAATCCTCGAGGAACACAGAAAGTACTTTCATTGGTATGGACAGAAGAAAATTTTGTCTCTATATGTTTCCTGCATTCTTTTGGCAGATCATGGAAGATTTGTTCTAAGATTATTCGGATGATTTTATTATCTTAAAGGTAATATAGAGAAAGGACATGGACATGTTGTAAAACAAGTCCTCGCGCGTGTAAACACTCACAACTTCAAGATAATGGTAATGTGTGAATGGGGATTTGGTATGGTCCAGTTACTTGGATATCTTCTCTCAAGTGAAGGTAAAGAAATTGATCCCGGTAAAGTGGATCACCTTCTGGACTGGAAAACCACTGTGACCGGAAAGGATGTTATCAACCTTTGCGGAGATGTAAAATTCTTCACAGATGGGGTCCCTCGCCAATAGAATTTTTAGTCATTTACGTTAACGTAAAGCTCAACTAAGAGCCTTATGGACAGCAGAATATGAGGCGGCTTTACGTAAAGTAAAGACTGCCGTTCAAGCTGCTCCACTTATGCGACGTCATATTGACGGAATATGTCACCGTCTAAAATAGCGACTGACACATCGGATACTGTTGTAGGCGGTGTACTTGTCGAAAACAATCCAAATTATGTGCATTTCTTTAGTAAAAGATTAAATGCCTCGCAGTGTAATTATCCTACTGTCAAGCAAGAATTGTTAGCAATTGTATCTGCTTTATAATTATTTAAACACTATATATATATATATATATATATATATATATATATATATATATATATATATATATGCCACACACTTTAAAGTGACATGTGGCCAAAAGTCTTTAATAATAATGATATGAAGCCACGCAATCAAGTGGTTAGTAAATGGCATGACCGTGTATGTCAGTTCTCTTTTACAATAGAACAAATACCAGGGTGCACAATAACTTACCGGACATGTCGACTCGGCTGTTACCAGACTATCAGGAGACTGTTCGAGAGCTGTTAGAAACTGATTGGAAGATGCATGCATTACGTTTCTTCTGTTAGCTGAAAGAGATGGTGATAACACACAAATGACATGTTTGCTGCAAGACATAGTGCACAACTTATAGCCTTTATGTACCCAAATTATCCTAAAGAAGGTGCGTTTGAGATTAACTTCAGGAAATACAACGCACGGGCAAATCCGCCGTGAAAATTAATCCGGCTGTTGCTTAATTATGTTAACAATTTCCCTCTGTGTTGTCCTTTAAGGAATTCAGATCTCTGGTTTGATGAACTAGTGGATATGATACAAGACGAGGCAAATTGTTTGACTCCAGAGGTTGATACCTTCTTTTGTGTGAGTACCCGGGCAATCACGAAGAGGCTCTGGCGTCATACGACGATATGTCGTATTGTCACCAAAGGAACTTCTATTTGGAAGTCTTCAGAGCACTTTCAACATATGGTAGATGGGTGTACCCTTCTCCTAATCTATAATATTGTATCTGAATATGCATTATCAATTTGAAGTCTTTGCGTCTGCATGGTATGAGTAGAGCAAAAGTTATAGCCGGTTGTTCTTATAGTAGTCTGAAAGATGCCACCGAAAAAGCTCGTACTATAATCATATCATTCTTACGGAATGATATGCCAGGAATATATATGATCAACTCATGAAGTTGACTGACATAAGTCAAGCTTGTGGACATAATTATATGAGTCACAAGACTGATTATTCTATTGAGTATTAAGTAAAAGATATGGATATAGATATAACTATATTTATTGATGCTGCGGTTACCTAGGCATCTCCTGAGGAATCTACAATACAAATTGAACTCACACGTTTGAGATTAAACTCAGAAGTACAAACTTATCCACAAACGTCAGATGCTGATACACTCAAGTGGGTCAAGTAATATCATAACCTGGCGCATTCATCAGTAGATGCAATGGTCGCTGAGGCAAATCGTAATGGTCTGATCAATTTTAATCTGCACAAGCTATGTGAGTAAGAACAATTTAGAATGCAAAAAAAAACCAAATCAAGCACTATGGTTAGGCGCCACTTAAGTCGGTGTCGAAGATAAACCTACGCGCACGGAATCATTAATTTGATGTAGTCGGACGATATGATGAGAACTATATGTCCACATGTTTGATATAGCCTCCAGGTATATACTGTTTTATCCTGCAAGGAATAAACTACCTGATATACTGGCGTAATTATGCTTACTTATCTTTGCCGATCACGGCTATCTATTAACGTACTTGTCATGATAATAGTGGCGAGTTTATAGGTAAAATAATGACCACCTTCAAACTCGTACCTGGCGACCATTTTTAAACTCGTACCTGGCATATGTGAAGAACGGGGAGTTCCCTGTGAGCTACAATCGCAAGGTGCCAAGAGGTCCGACATAGGTAATTACATTTCTGCTAAGGACCGCTTTAAAAG